TTATTGCTTTGGTGTATGACCCTGGACATCCAAACAGGACTCCTTATAATAAAATTTAGAGCTCTGGATCTTCATTAAGATTTAACTAAATCACCAAAGAACTCTGCCCTGTCCTCTTCAGTGCTTTGTAGCAATAGTAATTATTGTTTCTATTTACAAAATGCTTGCTTTTAGTAAGGAGCTCTGGTGGTATAGAGGTTAAGTTATGTTTGTGTGTCAACTTGGTTGGGCCTGGTTGAGTGACTGGGCAGCTGGTGGTAGTTATTCCCCATGATGAGACTGGCAATCAACTCCATGGTAGGATCTCCCACAAGCAGCTGAGTGGCTGCCTTTGGGATATGGTCTGCTTCCTGTATATAAGGAGAAGGCTTGGGAATGGTCTCTAGCTTATGGCATGCTTGGACCCTACATGTAGCCGTGTCATTGCTCAGCAACCTGCTATGCTCTGCCGACCTTAGGACTTACAATGAACTTAACAGCCTGCCATGTGGTTTGGTAACATTGGGACTGTGCCTTTTTACTTGTCAACCTTGGGACTTCTCAGCCTCAGCAGCCAGCAGCTGTCTGAGTAAAGAAATGCCTCTAGCTCCAGTGGGCCAGGAGCAGGAGGCAGAGCTGGACCCCAAGGTTGAGGGGCTTTCACCCAGCCCCTAGAGCCTGGCACTTTGAACTTGGACTTAAAGCCTCCAAATTGTAAGAATAAACTCCTGTTTGTTAAGGCCATCCCATTTGTGGTATATTCTCATCAGAGCAGCACTAGGTAACCAGAACAGCTGCTAACCAGAATCAGCAGTTCAAATCCACCAGCCTCTCCTCAGGAGGAAGATGAGTCAATCTACTTCTATGAAGATTTACAGCCTTGAAAACCCAATGGGAGTCGCTACGAGTCAGAATCAACTGGATGGCAGTGGGTTTGGTTTTTGGTTTTCCTTTTAGTATTGTTATCCTTGTTTCATAACGGGGTGGGGGGAAGCAAACTCAAGATTAATATTGGTAACAAATTCACCTTTGAAAGGACATTGAGTTCTCCTTCCCTCCAAGCACATGCCATTCAAGGACTCTAGACTCATGGGCACAGATAAGCACAAGAAGTCATCCTTCTACCATAAATTGTGCTTCTGGCCCAAGCCGAAGGCATGCTCTGCCTAGCTGGTTAACTTTTCTGGTCCTGGGTTGCTCTTGGGTCGTATCTCTGGAAGAGGTGGTGTGCTGGACTCTGACCTGAGTCTTAGACATGGCTTAGCATCTCTCTCACTGCCTGATGTTATGGATTGGATTGTGTCCCCTCAAAATATGTGTTGAAGTTCTAACCTCTAAACCTATAATCCAATTTGGGAATAAGGTTTTCTTGTTATGTTAATGAGACTGTCAGTGTAGAGTGTGTTCTAAACCAAATCACTTCTGTATCGTAAAAAGAGCAGATTAGACAGAAACAGGCACAGATGGGGAGAAGACAGATGCCATGTGCAGATGCCAGTGAATCAAGGAAACACCAGGGCTCCAGAAGCTGAGACCAGGACCCCTAACTGACAGGGAGAGAGCCTTCTCCTATAGCTGGTGTATTGATTGAATTTGGACTTCTAGCTTCCTGAACTGTGAGACAGTAAATTTCTCTTCTTTAAAGCTATCTGCTTGTGCTATTTCTGTTACACCCAACCCAACCCAACCCATGGCCATCGAGTGGCTTCTGACTCATAGCGACCCAATATGACAGAGTAGAACTGTTCTATATGGTTTCCAAAGCTGTAAATCTTTGAAGAAGCAGACTGTCACGTATTTCTCCTGTGAAATGCTGGTGAGTTTGATCCACTGACCTTTTGGTTAGCAGCTGAATGCATTACCACTATGCAACCAGAGCTCTTGTGTTATGCCAACACTGAGAATCTAAGACCCTGGCATAAGAAAATCACTGTACTCCCCTCCCTCTGTGTCTGCTTTGTCCACAGTCATATTAGTAGCAGCAATTGCTTCTCCCCACTAGTATCTATCAAAGGACTTTGAATGGTTAAAAAAGAAAAAGCTCTCTGTAGGCCAGCTATTTATTATGTGTTCATATTCCTTGTCCCATATCCACTCTTCTTTTTTTCCAGAAAGTGCAGGGAAGTATGCCAAATATGAGTTTGTTCAGACCCTGGCTCTCTGTGTATTTGTTGACAGAAGAAATATGTTAAGGTAGAGGAAGAGGAAGCTTGCCAAGGATGTTTAATGGGATCATATAAACATTTGTATTTAGAATAGTTGTTGATGTTTCTTATTTTAGGCAACTCAATGGCAGTGAGTTTGGTTTTTTGGTTACTTTAAATAACTGGAAAGACAGTACCCACATGGTATAAGTATGATTTCAAAAGCCAATACCAAGTCATTCTAGGTTGAGTCGGCACACACTGCTGGTGGCCATTGCAATATCCATCATCTTCCTTCCTAATAGAACCCTAATGATGTTCAAGTCACCTTCCCAGACTTCCTTGCAGCCCAGGATGAACATGTGACCCACTTCTGGCCAATGAGATGCAGGTAGATATGGCAAGGTAGGGGCTTCCAGGAAACCTTTTAAAAGAGTACAGTGTTAGCTGGCATTTACCTTTTGTTCTTCCTCCTTTTTGTGCTTGGAATGCAGACTCAATGCCAGCACACCCACTTTGTGTCCATGAGCACAAGAGTCACAAATTAAGGACAGCAAGCAAGAAAGAATGACCCTAAACCTTTGACAGGGTTCCCTGGGTAGTGCAAATGATTAACGTGCTTGGCTGCTAACCGAAAGGTTGGAGGTTCAAGTCCACCCAGAGGCACTCTGGAAGAAAGGCCTGGCAATCTACATCCAAAAAATCAGCCATTGCGGGGAAAACTCTTGACAGCCCTGAACTTAAAAAACAAAAACAAAAACAAAAACAAAAACCAAACCACTGCCATCAAGTCAATTTCAACTGATAGTGAATTATAGGACAGAGTAGAACAGCCCCTTAGGGTTTCCAAGGCTGTAATCTTCAGAAGCAGACTGCCACACCTTTTTTCTGTGGAGCAGCTGGTGGGTTCACACTGCCGACCTTGTGGTTAGCATTCACGCACTTAAACACTGTGCCGCCAGGGCTCCTTTTAGCCCGAGACTACTACTTTCTAAAGTCTTATGTAAAAACAATCAATTGGTAAATCAAACACTAAAACCTGTTTAGTCAGGCCACTCTAATCAGGTTTCTGTTCCATGTGGTGAAACACGAATTGACTGCAGAGTCCTTCAGAACCATGCCTTTCAAACTTTGATATGCATACAGATCCCTTATGACTTGTTAAGAATGCAGATTGTGATCTGATAGGTCTGGGATGGTGCCTGAGATTCTACATTTTTAACAAGCTCACAGCTAATGGTGATGATGCCGGTCCTTGGATCATGCTCTGAATAGCAGGGATTTGGAAAAATGACAGCTCTTTCAGTTTGTTTCCATGTAGGAACTATCCTTTGATATGCTTATTATTCTGTTAAAAATCTGTAAATTGGGGATGGTTGCATAATGTGATGAAAGTAATTAATGTCACTGAATTGTGCATGTAAAAATGTTGAAATCACAAATTTTTGGTTACTGCTTTTATATATATGTATATATATATATATATATTTGTTGTTGTTAGGTGCTGTCGAGTCAGTTCCAACTCAGAGTGACTGTATGTACAACAGAATGAAACTCTGCCTGCTTCTGTGCCCTTATCTCAAAGGTTGCTTTTTGAACCCATTGTTGAAGCTGCTGTATCAATCTGTCTCATTGAGGGTCTTCTTCTTTTTCTCTGACCCTCTACATTACAAGCATGATGCCCTTCTCCAGGGAGAAGTATGTCCAAAGTAGTATGTAAGACAAAGTCTCACCATCATCACTTCTAAGGCTGTGCATCTTCTAAGACGGATTTTTTTGTTTTCTGGTTGTTGTTGTTGTTGTTATGTGCTGTCAAGTCGGACCCAACTCATAGTGACCCCTCCTTGGGTTTCTGAGGCAGTATCACTACGGAAGTAGATTGCCCCATCTTCCTTCCAAGGAGTGG